TATGCCATCAAGGCTGCATTCCTTTAAACACTTACTGGCGGTAGATGAAAGTCCCACTGAATTAAATGGGACTTACTTCTGAGTAAAAATCTGTACGCTTGCCATATCTTTCTAATGTGCAGCTCCAGTTTCTCTTCTTTCACCATTATTTCTATGTCAGAAGTGTCACTTGATATGACTATAGCTAAATATCTTAAATAGCACACATGAAAGGTTTTAACAAAGCAAATGCCATTCCTGCTACAGCCTTCTTTACCACACATTTCTGTAAGAACCAATCAATCATCTGGCATGTCTAAATTACATTAAATATAAAGAGCACATTTATTCTTACAGATCATTAAACCAAAACTGCAGGTATGATTAAGAGCATCTCATAGAAGTCTGAGAACTGTCTAACTGCAGAAGAACGTGTGCTGTGAACTTTGGCAGCCTCCAACTTACGGAAACCCATGCAGTTACGATGGATTGCAGAAATCTGCTAAAAGCCAGTCCACATGAAAATAGCCATGAGCTATGCAGTAGGGTAATTAACTGGCACAGTTTGGAATAACCATCTGTTCATTCAAATATTAAGGCACCAAATCAGCACTACTTGACAGATAACTGGTTTTAAACCTCCTGCTGTAGAAAAAACTCTCTTGCTACAAAATGCCTCTAAGCAAGTCACAATACCCAGCCGACAAAAGACAGCCAGCTTGCTGGATCTAAGTAGACTTCAGCTCATTCTCTTTGGGCAGGTAATAGCCACAAAGCCAGGACTATTTTCTTTCTGTAACTTTAAAATATTCCTTCTTATGCCTATTTGGCCGGGAGGCCCCTTCAGAGTGCTAATGATATTGTTCAGTTTCTTCAGCAAGCTATCTCCAAAAACCATGATGGTAGTTTGAAATAATTTCATAATAGCTAAGAGCATATATATTCAAGCACCTCCCTTTGGAATTAAATCATAAGTCATATATGTCACTGGAGGATCAGCCGAGAGTTGTCATTTAACCCTTTCCACTCCAGTCATGGATGGCTTCTATATTCAGGATACGTGAAAAGTACCATAGAAGGTAAAGCATTACAAGATTAAGGACCACAAATCTATACAATGTGTCTGTGCTGAAATATATATGAAAATGGAAAATGTATTTGTTTCCTTGTCACTCTGTTGTGATGATGCACAACAGAGTGACAAATGATGCTTCACAACAGTTGTGTGTTGCTTCTTGTGATCTGAAGGTCTGTAGGTTATGTTCAATTGCAGTGTCTTACCTAACCACAGAGTGGCAGACACTGCTTTTACAGGCAGGCAAGAAGGCAGAGAGGCAGTCTGTCTCTCTTCCTGTTATGTACAAACCTATCTGGCCTGCTACTGTCATCTTTCAGAAGGCAGTTTATATTCAATAGAGGCAATATTTTTCTTTCATGAAATGAATTCACAATCAAACCAGAATAGAAACTAAGTTGTAAATATCTACTTTCCTGTGTAATGTTGTGGTGCAGATCATTCAGTTCACACATTCTTCAGCAACTGGAGAAAGCCCAGAACACATTTGTTTGCTATGGATGTGCCACTAGAACTATCCCCCAAATGAGAAAACAATTTCTATTCAGGTCATAACATGTACACTCAGGTTATGCAACTTTATACCCCCTGTTCACACCTACCTTGCTGACCAAGAGCATGGAGGCTGATCATGTGATCAACCCACAAAATAGTTTTGCATTTTACTTGTAGCAGAAATAAATTTGCCAAGATGTCTAAGGGCATATAAGTTATCTTGGTTTTCTGTACACAAAGCATTTATTGTGCACTTACAATCCTTCATTCATGGTAGTTTGGGAGACTTTTAATAATGTCGCCATCCTCCAGGGCCTCTTCCATGTTTTCCAGCCATTTTCTTAGAAGTCAGGGATTAAATTTCAAACCAAAACAAAAACCCTGTACATTCTCACAAATCTGGGGCACTGCAGCTATACCATAGCACCAACTTGTGGTTGGTTAATAGACTATATAGAAAGCTACAGAAATACAAAGACAAGAAAAAATACTGTAAAACGTTTTTTCTTCCACAACAAAAGTGGAAGAAGCCACAGTAAAGCAGCAGGATGAATCCCTACCACTGAATATAGTTTGCAAAGATAAAAAATTAAACCCAGCAGAGTCATACACAGGTTGTAACATTATTATCTAGGTGTCATGAAAATGGATGCAGTAAGAACCTACTGAATCTCGGAATTAAAGGAAATCACAATCAACAGAATTAAATTTCTCTGCATATACATGTGATAGAACACACATATCATTTTGCCCATGCTAGAGCATTTATGAACTTTCCTACATGGAATAAATATTCATAAAGACAGATAGGAATTTTCTCAGGTGTCGAATGAACCCCAACTGGGGCTACACTTGGAGACTATATACATAACACTATTCATCTATCTCATTCACTAGCTGAACTTGTAGAGTTGTGCCACAATAAGTCCTGCATTATCATGATTTATGAAAAGAACAATAGTTTTGCCCATTAGCAACCAACCCATAAGGACTGCTGCAACATATAAAACAGATCAAATGAGCAGTTTCCTTGAGCAAGAAGCAGTTATGGCTGCAACAAGACTCACCCTGGATCCTGCTAAGCACACCAGTCTTTGAGAAAGGCTCCATGCTTTCAAAAACAGGAATGTCAAGTTGTTTATGTTCTCCAGTTACTCCTATTAAATGTAGGAGAGCGACCAAATAAGGTAATCTATAACTAATTCAATCAGTAAAAAATCTCTGTTGTAGATGATTTCTCATTTTGATATTTTTAACCCAAATGATAGATTCTGTAATAGGATTATTTTCCATTGATACAACTCCTATGCATTTAGGGCTTATCTTCCCAGTACTTGATAAGCTTTAATAAATCCCCACAGCAGCCTTGCATTATCCTTATCATACACCAATGAGGAACTGACAGAATTGATTTGCAAAAGGCCACCAAGAAGGTCAGATAGCATTAGAACAGCACTGAGAATGACAGTAGAGGCAGACAACACTATTTCTAGTAGTCACTCTTGGCTGGTTTACACCTCAGTAAGTGTAAAGTTCAGAACTAAACTAGGTTCTAATTTTTAAAGTGGCCATGAAAAGCACATCTGAGTGATGTTTTGGAAACTTGGAACCCTTTAAGAGCCTGGGTTTTTTTTAAGGGTGTTTAAAGAAACACTGAATGGGGAATTGTGTTCCTGAAATAATATTTTGAGGCAAGAAATTCCATGGCCCTTTCTTCTGCAATGTTTCTACTTGAACTTGAGGTAATGTGTAATCACATTAGCTATCATTTGAGTAATTTTGTCGTCTTACATATTCCATGCAGAAAAGGACAAATTATGCTAATTAACAATGACCGAGTTTGCATAATAGGACAGCTCACCATGGGCAGCTACCCATGACAGATTGTTCCACGGTAGACAACTTAGGCATTCTACCTTTTTTTTGGCTGGGAGGGAACAATCCACCCTGATGACTTGTGACTTTAATCTAGGTGGTGGTGTTGTGCACTTTGTGTTGTGCCACCCAAACCCAGGACAGCAATTTCATCATGGATTGCTGGAATTGCCTAAAAAGTTGCTTGGATGCCAACACCACTGACTGCCCCCCACCCTTCCCAAGCAATGCTCCAACAGCATTGTGGAATGAGTGCCACTTCTTTGCCGGAATATTTTCCCCAGCCCCTGAAAACTGCACAAATGGAGGGCTGGGGGCAGTGTTTTCCAAGTGCATACAAACACACTTCCAGCTGCTATGTGACGCCTTGCATGGTCAATTTCCTATTTCAGGGATCAAAATGAAGGCTGGGGCAGAGTAGGAAATATAGAAGGAGGCTAACAAGACGAGAAAGCATATAAGCTAATTTGCAAACTGTTAACAAGGTCCAAGGGAAAAATACTCAAGGAGCACAGAAACCTATCTGTACCATGGAAAAGCACCAAAAATGGAGAAAAGTTGCAGAAAAGTGGAGCACCAATAGGGTAGGGAACAGTATCCCCCATTTAGACATGCAATTATTCTGATTCCAAGTGTTGTACTGACAATTTTCAACGCTTTCCTGGCTCTGCAGTGACTCCAGAAAGAGGAGAGATTAACTCCCTTGTTTTGGAGCAGTTACAACAGTTCCTTGACAGTTTTTTAAAACAAGAAAACTCCTCCTCCTCACAGGCAGTAGCTAAATGGGACTGAGGGAACAATGGCCCACTAATATGGAGCAATGTAATTAGTGTTAGCACCTCTAACAATGTGTGCATTTCAGGATACTGTGAAATATAAGCAAATGTATGAGATATAGAGAACTACATGCAAATTATGAGGTTGAGAACTGAACATAGGAGAAACTTGCAGGCCTCCATGAATCACCCCGTTACTGCAGGTCTGCAAATTTCTCTTTCATTTACTTGCCAGCCCTTACATTTGCACATCTTTCACTGAACAGCCCACACTGTATGGCTTATTTGTGGGGGTGGCTTACCAGTACATACAACCCCAAAAATGTGTATGGATCTGTGAAGCATTTGGAAGAAAATGCTCTTTTTGCATGCTTTCTTGTAGTAAAGTTGGTTGACCTCAGATGTCCCATCTATGTATTTTAAAAATCGTATTAATCAAAATTCCTTGACAAAATAGACTACCCATCTATCAAATACAGTGATTCATCCAGCAGTTTGCACTTTAATGCATACTAGAAAAAAGGAAGTACATGTGTTAGTCGAGATTTCTTTTATAAAGGTGTGCATTTTAACACAACTTGCTTAGCTTTAGATCAGTTATTGTCATGCAGCTTTGTAAATAAAGGGCAATATACAGTAAACCTTTTTTATACTGGAGGTATAGGGTAGGAGGAGTGTTTCAAAAAAAGAAATACATAATGGCTATCCAAAATGTCAATCATCTGTGATACTGCGCAGATTCACAGACAAATTTAAGACTGTACCACTAGAAAATGCCCAAAAGACTCATTGGCAACTCATTTACAAATATACTATTTATAATGAATACATTGATACAGAATGACTTATAAAAAAGCAAGGCAATCTTTTATAGACATAACAATCAACATTACAATAATTCAGAAAGTACAATATTTTGTAGACCATTCACACGCTTCCATTTTTAATCACAAATTAGTGTGGCCTTATGATTTAACAGGCAGAAACCTGTACTGTCCTGCTTAAGGCCAAAACAAAGAAATAACAGAAACTTCAAATCTTTGTAGAATAAAAAAGCCATCAGATTTTTTTGTTTTGTTTTTGCAGAGATTATCATTAGTAATTGTCCTACATGTGCCTTTTAAAGTTGGTGTATTGTGCAAATTACTGCCAGGTGTATATCTAATTAAAAGCAAGTTCTGACATGCTGATTAAAGATACAATGGAAGTGCAATATTGAATATACAAATACTCTGTTGCATTCAGCTTCCTTAATCAGCCACAAAGGCATTTTCCTTTGATATGTGAAGAATACAAAACCGTTCCCATATTTTTGGAATGGTCAAAAATGCTACTTTGAAATTTGTCTGTCCCAACAACAAGTAAGTAGCTACTGTTCTCTTAGTACTACTTTATAAAACCATTTAAGTGAGCTAGATTCCCTTCCAATCTAAATATTTGCCAAGATAAATAATATAAATAAAGTTTGAAACATCTAATAGTAAACACTGCAAACTTCTAACAGAAAACAAATTTAAAATTATTGATCAAGGAAGTTGGGCAAAGGTCTTTAAGGCCAATGATCAAGCCTAATTCCTTTCATTCTAGTCTTAAAAAAAGGTAAATGTACAGGTTTCCCCATTACATTAAAGTCCAGTCATATCTGACTCTAGGGGGTGGTGCTCATCTCCGTTTCCTAGCCGAGGAGGCCAGCGTTTGTCCGCAGACAGTTTCCGTGGTCATGTGGCCAGCATGACTAAACACCGAAGTTCACGGAACGCTGCTACCTTCCCACCGAAGTGGTACCTTTTTATCTAAACATAGCATTTCAACTGTCATTAATATTCCAAGAGTGGTACAGTATGATAAATATGTTAATTTCAAAAGGAATCACAGTGCCAATTATTCCTTCAATGTTGTAACACAATCCTAAAACTGGAGGCTGGATTCTTAGATTTGTCATAACAGTAGCAGAGTCCTATCTAAGGTGATGTTTCAACAGTGCACAGGTACACTGGGCTGCTGCAGCTGAAGTCACCTCTGTCCTACTTGCTGTTAAAATTCTGTTAATGGTTTCTTTACAGAGGTGTGGGCTTATTCAAACACACAACATCAGTGGCTACGCTGATGATCATGCACATTAGAAACAAGTGAGTCAGGCTTTATCCCTCTGTTCTGCAGCAGCCTTCCACAACTTGGTGCCCTCCAGGGGTTAGAACTGTCATCACACACATCTGGAGGGCAACAGGTTGCAGAAGAAAGTTTTCACAGCAACTGGAGAACAGAACAGCAACCACAGCACTGATTGCTGCTGCAGTAAGACTTTGAATGTTTCCTAAATTAACAAAAAATGGCTCGTTGGCCCTTGCACCAGGGAATCTCGTAAGAGTGTTCCAAATAAAACTGGTGATCCTCCAGAGGATATGCACCAATTTCCATCAAAACCCTCTGAGACACACTTGGAAGGATTGTCACAAGTTCTGAAGCCTCACCTCAAATGTAGAACTGAATTAGTAGAACAACTAAAACACTTTGTGTACATTTATTAGCTCTTCAAAAATATACTCCAAATAAAAATTATCTAGATATATGTTCTCCTACTTCAGTATTAACAATTCTAGCACTCCTTCTCTGCACTCCAACCCCACCCCACCATAGCGCCCAGATTATGACTGGCACTTCTTAAACTCCAGTGAACACATTCTTCCTTGATTGAAGTTGACATTACCTAACAGGTCAATGTCCATTATTTTACCAATGAATGTAAAGATAGGCCAGGAAATATAATAATTTTCCATTATTCTGTTTTAAAAATTCAAATTATAACTACTGACATCATGAAAATATTTTACAATTATTTTTAGCTCTGAATGTATTACTACCTTTCTGTAAATTTATTATTTTGCATTCTGCACCAATTGCAGAACAAAAACTTAATCTCAATTTGTTTTGGAAATAATGTGGTTTCAGTGCTTAGTATTAGAACGCAGAATGTATGCTTACATATGATGCTGAAGTACAATTATTTCACTGGTTTTATTTAAGATAATTTTTGAAGTGTACCAATGAATGAATAAAACCAGTCTCTAACATGCAGGCAAATTCTAGAGAGAGAAACAGTCAGTCATATAATCCTTGGCAAGAAGAACAATCATATTAATATATTTACAGACAAAACTATCAGTTCATAAATGCAGCCCAACTTTATCTATCCACTATTCCACAGAGTGGCAGAAGAAGCCAGCCTACTAGAAACATACTATCCTACTTCAACTCTGTAAAAGTTTACAAAGAGATTCTTCCAATTCTGCCTGGAGCAATGTACTCTGGCTAAACTCTGGCTTTAAATATAACACACAAACAAATGATCTGAAAATCTTTCTCAACCCAAAAAGAAAAAGTGCATGTGGGCAGCATATAAAGAGACACATACAAGTTTACAGCTTGAGCATAGGTGGGCTATAATCTTTTGAAAGAAAAAAAATTTAAACCACCACTACAGGGATCTTTGTATTTTAACAGTTTAATGCTCAGGTGGGGACGCTTGCACACAGCTGAAACTATACATTTTTATAAACAGATCTAGAGTGAAATAGCCATTAGTAAATGTTTTCTTGAAAGGCAATAAAATTAATGGTATGGATCCAGACTTATGCATATAGCCCGCCCCTCCCTCAGCACTGCCCCATAACATTCTACCCAGAGGTTCAGGGTGCACTATGGCACAGGGTAGAGTGAAGGAGGCTAAGGGAGCAAAGGGAAGACATCCATGGAACACGCCTCTGATTGATTTTGTGGACCCTCACCCTTGTTCCTAATCTTCCCCCCATTCCATTCCCCATCCCCCATTATCTGCATAGGTCAGGGAAGCACTCTGAATCCACTCCAGTTACGTACCCATAACTCTGGATCCAATCCAATATTCCTTTGAAATTCCAGTGATATCTAGAGTAGTTTTTACTACCAGCTCAAGCCCTTTAAAGGTTTTATATCTCTACCTGCCTTTCGTTATGAAATTTTTACTTGCTAGTAAGAAAACTAATTAAAGTTAGAATTCACCTCAGAGAAAGCAGAACAAGGAAGCAAATTATGTTGGGCTCAACCCAAAAAAACCCATGAACACCCAAATTCCACTGAAATCATTAAGACCTGAACAGCATTCTTAAGCATATTTATTCAGGCTTAACTGTGCTTATCACAGCCTTAAACACATGTTCTGGAGCATAAGTCTTATTGATTTCCATGGGACAAACATGCCTGCCTACTTCTGGATTGTGCCTATTAAATAGACCTTAATATCAGAAATAAAAATTACAAAACCTTCAACAGGTGAAAAAAATATTCTAGCACCTATGATGCACAATTTGTTCAAAAGATACAGTATTCTCAACATTCTTGTATCCCAGAAGCAAATCCAACACGGTGAATTGATGCGGAAAACAAAAATTATCTGGAATATAACTGCTACATGAGCTTCCAGAGTTCAAACTTGAAATGGCACTCCGAATATAGTAGCAACTGTCTATTTTACCGCAGCATCATTAGCCCTTTGTACAGCTATGAAAATGACAGTAAACCGCATAAGAACCACTTTACTGGTTTTCTACAGGCAATCACATTCTAAATATGTGTAAAGGTGTCCTTTTCAACAGACCAGATTTTAATACTGAGACCGAAAGGATGAGGTTAAGTAAATAAATCATGGTACTGAACTGACTACTTTGAAGCAAGTGTCCCATCTGTAGGGAAAAGTGCATTTAGTTCAGCAGCAAAACAGCACAGCATGAAGATATTGTGCTTGAATGCAGGTGCCCCATAATAATGAAAGGATGTACAAGGCAAGGCAAGATATAAAACCAGAGTTACATTGTCAACCAACCGTAAATCTTATATGTACTGCAGTGTTTCAAAGAAAGACACATTCATTAATTGTACAAAGACAAGGAGAAACCCTTACAAATGCCTGTTCCATTTTATATCAACACCATATATATATATATATATATATATATGAATGATATGTATATATATATCCTCATCAACGCACTATTAGACCTTAACAGGGTATGGAGCATTATAACAAAACCGTTGATTTCTAAATTTAAAAAATGCTGCTTGTGCTAGATGAGGCCAACTATAACTTAACTGGTTCAAATATGATATGCTTACAACCACTGAATTCAAGGAACCAAGATTTAAAATTAATTCAAGCTTTTGTTGGACTGCATATATCCTACTAATCAGATGCTTATAGTTTAATATGAATTAGTCAATAAAAGCCCTCAGCAGAAGCATAAAATTATAGATATGATTAAAACAGAGTAAATCCCCAATCCAAATCCACTGATTTACTCTGATTGTAAACAACATACAAGACTGCTTGTTTCAAATTTTAAAATAAGTTAAAAGATCTCTCCAACAGAGGACAAATTATTCCAAAGATTTTTGACACAAATAATATGTGCTGAGGGGAATGATAAAGAAAAGGTAGTATGAGCAATTTGCTTGCTTTTCCCATAGGAAGCATCATCTATTTTGTCCCTTAAATTGATCCACAATTAGTTGGCAATTGTTTTCAGTGAACTGGTATGCCCAGGTTACCCAGATATTCCTCAAATTCCACAAAGAAAACTTAGACAAGCATTTTACAAAGAAACTAAAAAAAAAAAAAGCTAAATGGCTATGTTTCCTCTATTAGCAGAAACACATAAATGTGGGCTTAAATTTGTTTTATATTATGTTTTATATATAATATAATATACAGCCTATATATTATATTATATATACACACATACACAATACCAATAATGCCTTCTGCATTTTGTACAGTGTACGGGACAATTCAACTTTTATTCATTCCTGACACCGTATGGCCTAGATATTATATACACGACACTTCCAATGCCATTTATATTTTGTACAATGTGAGAGCACATATCCATCAGACCATGGCACGATATGGTCCTTGCATTTTGAGAAACTGGATGATGAAGGAAGGTCCACCTGCAACAATTTGAGCAGGAAGGGTATTGAGTGGGCAGTTCTCAATACTCATTATAGACAATTTACTGCAGAGAGCCAGTTCAAAAGGAAGGCTGTTCAGATGTGGGTTGTCATTTAGATACAATTCCTCCAGATTCTCCAGTGTACCTACAAAAGGGAAGCATGACGACCATTAGCATTTTAAAAACATACCCTTGGTTGAAGGCAATTTATTCCAGGGGTGGGGAACATGTGGCCCTCCAAATGTTGTTGCACTTAAATCCAGTCAGCTCCAGCCAGCACAGGAATGGTGAGGGATGATGGATGTTACACTCCAGCAATATTTGGAGGGATATATGTTTCCCATCCCTGATTTATGGTACTCAAAAAGAATATATCATAATATCAAGAGTTTCTAACAAGAAGTGTACTTCAGATTCCGATAAATCCCAAATCATACCAGGCTAATTCAAACAGCTTTAAGGGATCCAAACTGAAGGAGGGGTCAAGGTGGACTAATTCTGAATCTGAACTCATGGAGATTTGAAATTTGGAGGACTGCCTATTCAAAAGTTGATGCATGTCTTCCCAAGTTCCCCTTGTAAGGGAAGCCCCAGAAAGCCTTCAGTTTTGTGACCAATAGCACTAACATCTGATCATAGTGAACGGTTATCAGGGCTCTCCTTTTCCAGTGTTTTCAAGGAGGGATACTGAAGTAATACACATAACAGTTATTTGCTAGTTTCCACCCTGAAGAACAGAAATGTTAAAACAGGTTTGGTAAAGTCTATGTGACCTGGGAGGGTCAAGTAGTGGGTATGCTTGGAAAATACTAGAGTTTCAAGTTCTCTGCCAGTGTTTGTTCTACATTCAATATCCCCACCACCACCCCCCCCCCCATATATCCTTTTGTATTCTCTATGACTTTGATCTTCAGTAAGCATAGAAAAGCCTTAAAGTGCTTTCCATTTTCTATTACCTCTGAGGTCAAAATGCTTGCTATCCTTCTGAAGCTCTGCAGGCTTCTTTCCTATGGATACCTCTGACATGTGCAGTTTCATTACAGATTGCCAGAACAAAACTAACCATGGAGAAGGGATGGAGAGTAACTCACTTAATCCTTCTCTAAATCTGAATAATTCCTTTCCACAGAAATGTTCCATCTATTCTTTTGCAGGTTTCTTAACTGGGAACACCTCATTTTCATAACAATTGTCCCCCTCCAAATGAGGATAAATCATCCTTTTTGGAGACTCCAAAAATATGATGATTGCTTTTGCATAGAGTTCCCTGCATCTAGTCAACTGAAACCTGGTATGTTTGATCACTCAGAAGGCACAATTATCCTGACAAATTTTACCCAATTGTGGTAGGAAATAAAAAGGTAACTGGGCACTCCTTTCAAAAATATCAAAATTCAAAAACCTGCAGCAGAAAACCCCTCTACCTATTCATCTGAAATTTTGCAGATCTAGCCTTGATATACAGAAACATTACACCTGCAAATTTCATCCAATTTTTTAAAAAGGAAAGGAAAAAGTTAAGCCACGTATTGATTTCTAATGATAGCCAACTTGACCATATTTATGTGGTAAAAATTACAACACAATGACTTATTCTTTTTTTGTTTTTTCTTCAAAAACAGAATGTAGTTAGAATAGATTGAATCCTACAAATAACCACAGAGTGCAAAAACACCACACTTATGTATGGGAAAAACCAATCTCATCTTACCAATCTCCTCAGGAAGCTGTGTAAGAAAATTCTCTCCTAGTCCAAGATGTGTCAGATTGATAAGGTGGCCAATTCCTCTAGGAAGGGTACTCAACTGATTATTCGTTAGAATAAGTCTCTGGTGGAGGAATATACAAACATCAAATTAGTACAGGAAGCTGGAACTAGTGCAAAACTGTCATCAGGAGTTGCTTCTTTTCGATATGCAACTCCATTGCTGAGAAAATGGCACTGGCTGCTTATTCACCAATGGGCAGGTTTAAAGATTTTTGCTAGTATAATGAAGCCCTGAACAACTTGTGATAAGAAAACTTGAGAGTGTGCTTTCTTCCTTACCAACCTATCTGGCCACATCAGATGGTATACTCCTAGTTATTCTGCATGGACCTATGGCCCACCTGGAATCTATGCAGAAGAGTCTTCAGTCTACACTGTAGAAGCCTTCTACAGAACTCCCTGCCTCCGGAGGTCAGACAGACATGAACATTGTGCTGTTTTTAGCACCTCCTGACAACTTCTTTATTTCAGGCGGCTTCCCTTGATCGACCAGCCAATTTAACTTTTTTAAATTAAAATATAATTTTATTCTTTTATGTATTTTATTGTTCACCCCACTGGAACTGTGGAGCAGAGGCACAGAGAGGGAGGGAGGGAGGGAGGAAGAGTAAGAGATAAATAAATATATAACCTACAAATTATGTAGATTATGACCTACAAAGCCCTAAACGGCTTGGGTCCTGGCTACCTGAACGAGCGCTTACGTCCGTATATGCCCGACCGCCCTTTGAGATCTGCGGGAGAGTCCCTTCTCTGGGAACCCTCCATGAAAGAAATTAGGAGAGTAAGTACCCGGAGGAGGGCTTTCTCTGCGGTGGCGCCCAACCTATGGAATTCACTCCCCAAAGAGGTCCGCCTGGCACCGTCGTTACTGGTTTTTCGGCGCCAGGTAAAGACCTTTTTATTTAAACATCATTTCAATTGTTAAAACATATGATCTGGCCTGGGCAACTTCTTCTTCCTTCTCTTTCTCCTCCTATATTTTTATTTTATACTGATAATTTTAATTTTGTATTTGTAAATCAATGTATTTTTTGTATTTTTATATTTAATGGTAATTTATTATGTACTATTGTATTTCAATGTATTTTATCATGTTGTAAGCCGCCCCGAGGTTTCGGCAAGGGGCGGCATAGAAATGTTATAATAATAATAATAATAATAATAATAATAATAATAATAATTAAAAGGGTCTATCTCGGAAATCAACCTGCACAAAAGTGAACAATATTATCCAATAACAAGTAATCACAAACTCCTTTCAGCTCCCATAAAGCATGGCCTTGAGTAGGGGAGGGCAACCTGAGGCCTTCCAGATGCTTTGGCTTACAGCTCTCCCATTAGTCCTCATCAACTCCTGTGCTGCCTAGTGATAATGGAACAGACCAAAATATCTTATAGGCCACAAGCTGTCCACGCTTGGCTTAATGTTTGCACTTCACCACTCTTAAATATTATTTAGCATGCTTAAGAATAATACAGGACATGTTTTTCATAAAGTCCTCTCACCATTCTACTCAAAAATACATGCTTTTTAAATTCTCGGTACCCAACAAAATGGGGAAAGGCCTGCCACCATATCAGCAACCTGAACCCATGATACAGTTGTTTTCATGTGGCAGGCTGCTGGGCTACATTTACCCAGGACAATATCCAATGGGGACACCGCACAAGTGGTTCCTCTCACCAGTAGTGATGAACAGTGGGAATTTAGTGTTTCTTACAAAAACCACTGAAATGAATGGAAATGCTTGTCACTGAATCAGGACTGTTTAGTGACCTCTCTCATTTGAGCTCCGGTGACCCGCCCCATTCCAGAAACAAGCATTTCTTCTTGTTTCTGGTTGCTCCCACAAGCACTAAATCTCCACTGTGTAAGTGGTGGGTCTCACTTGTGCCCCCATTAATTCTTTTCTACAGGGAAACTGGTGGGGAGTACTCTGTTACTTGATACTGCCCATGGACTTAGATTTTTCTATTGGCAAACATCTACAATGGTCATATGATGATTTTACTTGTAGATCCCTAAGGTATGCAATTTCATTTGGCAGGGATTCCAGCTTGTTCTCCTCCAGATCCAATTCTCTTAGTTTCCTCAAGTTTCCAATGCCATGAGGGAGGTTTCTGAGAAGGTTGTTTGACAAGATAAGAACCTGAAGAAAAATACATGTAGAACTTTTAGTAAGCCAGCAGCTTTCTGCTAAATAAGCACACTTAGTATATCCACTAAGTATTCTTCAATGAAAAAAGCTAGATGTTATTCAATATCAAACTTCAATGCTGGTTCCAGTGAATAAAAATCATGAAATGGACAAGGAAACATTCTTTACTAGTCAAAAGGGAGGGAAGCACATAGCTTTCCACTTCATAAATTTTTCTTGAGGTAGCTATTTAAGATCTTTGAAAAGTGTTAACACTTCTACATTCTTCCCAGTAGATGTTTAATAAAAAGGTAGTTCAGCATGTCTCTGTTAAAAAGCAGCATATAAAATAGTTTAATTTTCAGTTGAAAATTGGATACCATAAGGACTAAATAATTTTAACATTTAAAGTACACATAAATACTAGAATAAAAACAATGTGGAAAGTATGTATGCCATATCCACAGATTATCTTATCCCCTCCACCCTTGTTTGAGCAGTGAAAGGGCCAGGTGAATGAGTGGGTTTGGGATTCTTTGGATTCTAAATAATCACCAACCCCAACTGCTGAAAGTTTCTGCCATTGCAATACGTAGATTTTGGGTAGTAAACCTCCCCTTTGCTTCATGTAGAAGAGTCTGCAATAACCAATGGTCCCTGTGACAATCCCTCATAGAATTGTTTCCAGTTCTCAGTATCTTGAATCTCTAAAAACTCTCTACAGGTAAAGTAGGCAGCCCAAGACTTGCGGGCTGTAGCCATCAATTAATGTTCTTTCCTTAAAAGATTTGAGCTTTTTTCCACCATAATAATTGACTTGAGGGTGTATCCCACTGAATGGAAATGCAGGATGTTACAATTTAGGCAGAAGCCTTAAAGAGGGGCAGATTGCAGGGTTCACATTGTCCATTTGCGTTACATGTATACAAAATTTCTCTAAATGGCAGGGTGGCTTCTTTTATGCTCTCTTTTTTGAATTCTCTCATTATTATGTCATTATTTTACATTACAGTACAGTTATAATAAAAAGTGTCACCTCAACCAAAGAAAATAACAAAAACTTTCCTAAAAAGGAAACTTAAATCTCAATAAACCAAGTGCCAAATATTACAATGATATACTATCATCTCAGAAAATGGAAACTGTGTATTTTCCCCTCCAAAGGTTCCACTTACTTAAAACTAAAAGGCAGAATGAAAAAAAATTCCTGTAGCTATCACACAAAATATGTGTGTGATACATATGCTGTGGCACAACTGGGCAGCATACAAATGTTTTAAATGAATGAATGAATGTTGGGTTCAACATTTTATCTAATATGCATCCCTTGCCCTTTCACAATATATTTGCCATTTCTATTTATCATTTGGAGGATGGAGGTTAAGATTGGGGCAGGCCTCTGATGCAATTTCCTTAGTTGAGTTTTCTAATGCATCCTGCTCACCTCGAGAGAAACAAGCCCAGACACATCCTCAGGAATCTTGTTGAGTTGATTTGTAGCTAAGTTGAGTTCTACCATGCTGGTCCAAGTCCCAAAATCCAAGGGAAGAGATGTCAACTGATTGTCCTGGAGTTCAACATAAAGAATGTTTAGGCGTATTCTTGAAGAAGAAAAAACTTGGAAATGACATTTATTTAAATACATAAGAAACAAAGTCACTTTGGTTCTCACAAATTTCTTGTGAGATTTTTACTTTTAATCTGCTATTTAAAACCTGTTAAATCTACTGGGAATTTTTAACTTGGTACTGTTGGTCATTAATGTTTTAAGTGCTATTGTTAAATTTATCATTAACCTGTTTAAGTTTGTTTTTAATCTTTTGACCTATTGTATTTATTGAAAGTTACTATGTTTTAAAAGGAAAGCAGGCTATAAATAGAAAACTAATTCATTACATCTTACAACTAAGTTGTAAGAACAATCTGAACAAACAAAACCAAGTAAATGAAACTTAAGATGATGGAAAATAATATCTGAGATAAGAGACTAATTAATAAAATGGAAGAGTGCAGCCCCGATAAATGTTCTGCCATAGGACTTAAGCATGCAGCCATGATGGTAATGTGGTATTGAATATTCCCCCTCCTTTATTGTGCTTGGATTGCAGGACATACAGGTTTTTCAAGCCTTTAACCTGCAATAGCAGTCATGGGTAAAATCTATTTCCCGCCATCAATGCTTGGAACGACAGGCAGAGTCTAGTTTAGCTACTGCCATGGATTCCCACATGGATCCTTGACACCACTGCTGACACCAGACAGAATCCCTCTTCACCTTTGCTGCTGCTGTGAGGGTTCAGTAAAGTGCAACTGCTTATCCACTGTGCCACACTTAAGTAGTACTTAAGCTACTTTAAAAAAAAAGGCAAGAAAGAAATATGTGATGTTGTTTTCTCCTCAATATCAATCTTCATATAAGAATGCACAGGTGTGCATATGTGCACCTACGTAACTGGATGTGTAGGGCACTCACCGAGGATTCAAATTCCAGTAGGAGTCCACTGGCAAGAATCCCCTAGAGCTGCTGCTCCTCTTCACCACTCAAGTAATTTTTTCACTTCCTTTCACTCTGGCCCAAGATAATTATGGGGTGGTGAGGAGGAGCAGTAGATGCTGCAGCCTACTTGCTCACTGCTCTCTGCCTGCCAAGAAAGCAAGTGGTAGCAAGGATGAGAAAGCAGGTGAAGTACAACAGAAGCTGATGACAATGTCAGTGAGAATGCAGACTCACTGAGCAAGAGCGGCCAGTGAGGGTGTCTTGCCCGAAGGCTTTCAAAATCCTGCACAGTGCACAATGTATCTATATTCTCGGAAATGGCTATGCTATAAGCAAACATATGGCAAGGCTTCCAGTCTGGCTTATCAAGTTAAAATGGTTTACTAAGAAAAACACAAAGCTATTCAGAAGCCTTAACAGCAAATCCCAATACTATCTTATGGGAAATATTTTCTGCAATGTACTATATGTAATAAAGGACACACAGCCAGTATTTGTGAAAAGACCTGAACTTTCATTAATGTAAGCAAGCTACTGCTTTTTAGTTACAGTAAAATATCACAAATGAAATCAAGACTGTATATTATTTGAATTATTAATGACAGTATGGTTAAGGAACTATAGGTTATTTTAAACAACAGGTTGTGTTGAGTCTTCATGTTTAGTGGAAACAGAACTCATCTTTCTGAAAGAACCCATCCTCTATAGTTGAGGACTCATCACCTGTACCATCACAGTGTTTAATTATTTTAGCAGATCACCAAATGA